GATTACCAAGGCAGACTGCTCACCACAGAACAAAAACAAGACGTGCAGTGGACTAAACACTTCTCCGACCTCTTGAACAGACCTGATCCTGAAAATCCCCCAGATATTCAACCAGCCTCTCAGGACATTGACATTATTACTGAACCACCAAGCAAACAAGAAATCCTTAAAGCTATCCACACTTTAAAGAACAACAAAGCACCAGGCAAAGACGAACTGCCAGCAGAACTTCTCAAAGTAGATCCCAACACAACTGCTAGCATTCTAGAACCATTGTTCAAGGATATTTGGGAAAAAGAAGTGTTGCATGATGACTGGACTGAAGGAACAATAGTCAAAATTCCAAAAAAAAGGAGACTTAACCGAGTGAAATAATTTGAGGGGAATTACTCTACTCTCGGTACCAAGCAAAATATTCTATAAAATCATCATAATGCGGCTTGAAAAAGGAGTAGATAAATGCCTACGAGTAGAACAAGCAGGATTCAGAAAGGGCAGAGGAACAGATGAGTATATCTTTACTCTACGTAACATTTTAGAACAATGCAATGAATGGCAGAGAAGTATATGTATTAATTTTGTGGACTTTGAGAAAGTTTTCGACAGCGTTCATAGAGACGGTCTCTGGAAAATTTTACGACATTATGGAATTTCAGAAAAGATAGTCAACATAATTGCTCTCTTCTATAAAGACTTTTCCTGCAGTATAAAAAAATTACAATACATCTTTCCCAGTAAAAACAGGTGTAAGACAGGGATGTGTTATGTCATCTCTCCTCTTCAACCTTGTGATTGATTGGATACTAAAGAACACAGTAGACATGACACTGAGAGGCATACGATGGACTCCATTCACTATGCTTGAGGACCTTGATTTTGCAGATGATATAGCACACCTATCACATAAAGATGAACATATACAAGAAAAAAGTAACAGACTACACAGCACAGCAGAAATGGTGTGACTGAGAATTAATACAAAGAAAACTAAGATCATGACAAACAGTCCAAACCAACAACCAGTGACCATAAATAACCAAACTCTTGAAAATGTAGAACATTTCACATATCTTGGCAGTGTGGTGTCCCTACCGGGAGGGACCGAAGAGGACATACAGTCAAGTCTGAACAAAGATAGAGCTGCTTTTGGAAGGATGAGGCAAATCTGGAAATCCGACAGTTACTGCAGAGGAACGAAACTCCGACTCTACAAGAGCATAATTTTGCCAGTTCTTCTTTATGGAGCTGAATGCTAGAGAATGACCAAAAAGGATGCACACAAGCTGTCGACTTTCCATCACACATCTCTACGTAGAATTGTCAAAAATTTTTGGCCAGATACAATCTCAAACACTAAACTTCTTCAAGTCACAAACCAAAAAACTTTAGACAGTATGATTACCAAGAGAAGATGGAAATGGCTTGGCCACGTTAAGAGAATGAATTCGGATATACCTGCCAAAACAGCTCTCACATGGACACCAGAAGGAAAGAGAAAACAGGGGCGCCCAAAAACAACATGGAGACGAACGATGGAAAGTGATCTGAGTGCGGCATCTTTGACATGGAAAACTGCACTGAAGATTGCACAGGACAGGAAAGCATGGAAAGTCTTCTCTGAAGCCTTATGTGCCACGAGGGACAACGAGAACTGATGATGATGATGAAACGCATTATAAAGTCGGGAAGCTCAGTCTTACCACGCTCGAAAATGTTGGACTATCCTGTGACGTCTTCTGGGGTAGGATATTAAGAAAGAACCGAAGATGGATTAAAGGAGTAACGGACACCTTGAGACTGCATAACACTACCGTATATCAAGCGAGTAAGCTCGCCCTGGCTCGGCTGCCGATCGTCCGATTAACTGCAACGCCTAGAGGCATAAGCAGATATTGACAAAAGAAGAAAAAGACAAGTCGCACTTATTTTCCTAACAATAAAGGGTGTAAAAGCAGTATGTGATTAATACAATCGTAGTCGATTTGTAGGAAATGATTTGTTAGAACCGGTTCAGGGTTGATATAAAATTGATGGTGGTTGGGGTGGCCGGGGGGGGGGGGGGTTAAATTACATGTTCTTTCTCGCTGCAAGAGTTTCTAAGTTTTCTTTGCGCTTATTAGTTCGCACTTGTTACATTAAATTCGCAAGCTTCACTGGAAAGGTCACGGGTAGTGAGCATACCTTGGATCTTTTCTTCAGGCAATGCCGGCGTGGTGGGTAATAAACAGACAGACAGTTTGGCTGGATCTGCCCCACTGGGTGGTGAATGGATACATGACAAGGCAGATATGGTCAAGGCCCTCTGGGAACAAGCAAAGGAATCAGTAGAGATAGAAGAATATTATGGCCTGGAGAGAATGAGGCACCTGGATGTAGTCAGAGAGTCTGGCCTGCTCACTACACTCAGAGGAAAGACAAGACGGACATATAACCAGATTGTCACCGGTAGCATCAGTACTGGAACTCTGCGCTGGCTGCTGAAGATGAGGACAGATCATTCATGGAAATGCCCCGAGTGCTGTGATGTCAATTCTTGACTCATCATTAAATTACACTTTGTCCACAAAGGTCTCAGAGAAGATTTTTGTACGGTGTTGAATTCAAGTTAAAAATGATCCAGCTTGCAAAGGTAAATGGAAATGTGGTTCCCCTTCGAGTAAAAGGAACAATCCGAAATTACCAAAGATATCACGGCAGAAGAAGGTCACGAGAGGCAAGTCGGGAAAACGCCCAGATTTGGAGAAGGAGCTGAAGGTATGGGATAAAGGATGATTTCATGGTTTGAACAACGGATCAACAATATGGCACAAGGGTAGCAACCCATAAGTGCTTCGTTCTTCTTCTGACTCAGGCCTGAGTCCAAAGAATCTACCCAAAGTATTTTAGGATCCTCGCCGATGCTACAGAGTTCGTGCACTGCGCTGAGATTCTTCATACTCAGGCTTGATTTAGAAGTAGAACGGAGCACTTATGGGTTACACCCGTGTGCCATAATGTTGATTCGTCGAATAAACACACAAACATTGATTTCCTCCGCACATTCAGCCGATTCAAGACGTGTGTATGCTTGAATAGCCAGATTCTGACTCATCAAATGCTACTAACAATTACTAACTACCCTCGCCAGGTTTCACCCGTCTGTAAAAGCCATTGCCCGGGGGTGGGGTGTAGGGGGAGGGGGAGTGGCCGCTGCTGCATGTTGAGCCACAGGAGAGAGCTGGCTGTCAGACTTAGACTAAAGGCAGGTGAACTGTCCTGAAAATTACATCACAGGTCTCCATGACCTGAGATACTACTAAAACCTAGCAATACACTCTGCCCCCCCCCCCCTTCCCCCTCCCCAACATGTGGGGAAAAAATAAAGATCGTAAATAGTAATTAGACAGACTCGGCCATCCTGATGCTGACCACATCACCCACCAAGTTCCGTTTGGTCTATAAAATATAGGTCTAGCCCTATACACCCAATGCGTCTAAAAGGCGTGGAAAGGGTCCACTAATTAGACACAGACGAGGACAAGCTTAAAAAACTATCAGAGGGATGAGAGGTTTGACAGTGATGAGTTTTCTAGATTTTACGATGATAAAACCTGACTTGGATATTTTTGTGCAATCAAATTTTCTTTTTTTCTCTCAAAATTTCCGGTCCAGAAATCAAGGTGTGTTTCATACATGGGATCGTCTTGTACTTGAAGAAATACGGTACTTCTCTGTGTTATTAAATGTAAGTAATGACAAGTGCTGCTACGGCAGTTAGCGGATTCTTGGGAAACGATAGAAACGCTCTGAATAACGGTGTTTTCAGCTACAGAAACTGCCACAAGCTGGGTAAATAAACCAACCTGATGATGATGCCTTTGCCTGTTTTAATGCCACTTGATGAAGTTCACGTGTCGGAAGTGGGTGTTCATCTTTGTGGAACATTAGATGAACAGAATACAAAACACGGCTGTAAACAAACACAGCAGCAAGGCACAAATAGAGATGAAGAGATAGAAATGGTGATTACCTTACCGCAAGAAACATGCAAGAAATAGGATTGTGTCAGGACGGGTAAGAAATAAACTTGTAAGAAATTAACAACGTGCTGAAAAAGTAGATGACAAGGGGAAAGAAAGGCTCAGCGCTTCTCTCGTGTACATTTGGGAGTTTACCAAACTTTCGCAGGTAAATTCTCCCACGGCCAAACATCTTTTCCCCTATTAATCTTTAGGAGTTCTGGATTTCTAATAGGCTAAGATTCCAGCCAAAGGGAGGAGCTAAGTTCTTTTTGACAGGCACAGGCAGTTGGGAGGAGGGTCTTTGGTACCTTATACCTTGTAAGATTTCTTTACTGGAGCCCTGTGATAGAATAATGTTGAGTATATTCTTGTCAGTTAGTAGCCACCGCTTCAGTTTGATTTGATAAGATCGCATGTATGCTGTGACTTCATTTAACATAGCCTGTTGGACCATTCAGTCTACAAGTCTAAAATATAACTAGACTTTTATACAGTCTCTCTTTAGCAGCACAGGAATTAAATATTTACAACCTATTTTTAAAGTTGCTGTTATTCATAGTAGTTTACAAAAGATTTCAAACTTCATTTGGTATGAACATTTTTGGAATTTGGATGTAGAGTTTGGATATTAACGGTCTGGATATCTATCATTTAGCGGCATCTGTTGTTAAGGAACATTGAACTTATTATTACCTGTCATTTGCAAAGAAACATGTTAACATTGGTTGCCTTGTGTCTTTGATCGTTTTTTTTTTTTTAACAAGGACTTTCACAATATTTCGAGCCATGATTGTTAGTTTTCCAGAAAACCAGGAAAAACACACAAACAATCAAGTGTACAGCTCCAGAGACTACCCCAATCAGCCAGGGCCCGCTCTGCCATTGACCACACGAAGCAGCACAGTAGGCGAGGAGTTCTTTCTAGAACAGGCTACCAGTATGGGAACTAGAGAACATGGGTCTTCCTGGAGCTCCCATCAGCGTCTTAGCAGAAGCTGCATGGAGGAACTGTCCAGTAACAGCGAAATCAAAAGCCAAGCGAACTTCTGTGGTAAGAACTACTGTTCCCTAGATTCAGCCTACAATCAAAGTCCAGACAGTAACAGTAACATGAGCGACACGGCTGGGAGTCCAGATATATCCAGTTTTCCTTCGTCGTTCATAGACTTCAGCTCCCCGTACTCTGCTTACTCCTCGGGGCAGTTCACCGGGCATTACCACCAAGATGGCAGCCAAGTGCATGGTCAACAAAGTTATAATCACGTGGCATTCTCGTCCTTCTTTCAGGAAGCTTCCAGTGTTGACCCGCTGACCGGTAAGAGGAAGTCGCCCAAGTGCTACGAGATTTCACGAGTTGGAGCGACAGAGCGGGAACGTACTCGCATGCATATGCTGAATGACGCTTTTGATGATCTCCGAAAAGTAGTGCCGAAATCGAACTTGAGCGAGCACCAGAAGCTGTCAAAGATCGCCACTCTTCGTTTGGCCATTCACTACATTTCCGCACTTGCATCTACGCTAAAGGCAACAGGAACGGAGATTCGGCTTGTCAAGGACACGGGGGTTTGTGATAGAAGAGGAAGACGCCGAGGCAGAGGTGGCAGACGAAGCAAGATGCCTCACTCCCTTCCCTGTCCGTCTGTTACTATGGCGCGGAATGATATCCCACAAGGAGCAGCTTACTACCACCAACAGTTTCACTACCACGCCAACGGTCATGCCAATAGCCATGCCAACGTTCAGTCCAACCATCAACCCCCAGGTCAGTTCCAGCAACATCATCATCATCACCTACAACAGCCCCACAGTCAGCATTTACCCCAGCAGCACCACTTGCAGCAGCTGCAGCAACAACAATTTCTACATCTTCATGGTCGTTGTCAGGAAAGCGTCAATAAATCTAAAGCTATATTTGAAGAAAATCCAAATATGCAACTTCTGTGTTCGTTATAATTTGGGAAAAGTAATCAAACCACGCAGTTTGGTATTATATAACTCAACTTCGTTAAATACCATACAAAACAAAAATCCAAAAGACACTCTTTTGTATTCGTTGTTGTGTGTGGAAAATAATCAATCAATTAATTTGGTGTGCTATAATTCAACTTTGTTCAACAACACATCAAGAAATAGAGCTTATCTAAATTTGTGTTAGTTTTAGTGATAAAAATAATCAAACATACGAGTGCGGTATTTCGAAATTCATCACCGATTAACATTTTAAAATATCATTTCTTTTTATATATTCGTTTTCATGAGGAAAGATTATCAAACAAAACTGTTTGATGTGGCATAATTCGCCGTCATTCAACGGATATATCAATGTTAACAGTTTGGCTAGTCATAATTCAACTTCGTTTAACACATATGCAGCTATTCTATAAATGGACAACATACATATTGGTAAATACAGGACAAAGAACAAGAGACAGCACACAAGAAAAATTAAGACAAAGAATTTCTTTGTGAGTACATGTGCCTGGGAGGTAACGAACAACATACAGCATACAAATAATCCAGTAAAACATATACACGCAAAACTCGGGGCCTAAGACTCCAACTGGACGAATAACTAGGACTTTCTGTCGGAGTTCACTCACAGTCAGTGAACACAAACAAGGAAAGATTATAACATCAATGTGAACTTTCTTAAAAGTGCAGATTTAAAGAAGGGAAAGTGAATTTCGTGTTTCCTTTAGACTTCAATTTATTGGGAAATGTCAGTTGCAGGGACGCAAAGAGTGTTGAAGTGCTATATTGAACATGTGTTGTTTGTTCTATGCATGTGAAACATGGACAATGAAATAGGCCAGCTGGACTGGAGACTAAGTGTGCTATATAGAATCTCGGTTGTTATATGCGTGTGAAACATGGACAATACGCAGAGACCTGAAGAATACTACTGGCAGCGGAAACGTTGTATCTGATTACCGTGTGGGTTCCGGAGCCGTGTTAAAAGGGAAAAGAAGAAAAGGCCCACTGCCTACCCAAAGCATGTCGTAAGAGTCGACTTATTGGAAGCTTCCTCCAAAGTCAAAGTGCAGTCTGCATACAAATAGGTCAGATCTGTAAAACGGATGTACACGCAACACTCAGGTTCTGGAACAGGACTGCAGTCCAGAAGTGGATGAACAACAAAAACTTTCCAGTTTACAGCTGGTGAACGCGAAGATGAAGAAGAAGATTGTATCTGAGAGAAATGAGAAAAATATTGTTAGATTTTTTTAAATGTAACCAAAGTTCTAAACTGATAAGTTTGAAGTTTGAGGTTTGAACAACGGATCAGCATCATGGCTCCGTTCTTCTTCTAACTTACATCTGAGCCCGAAGAAGTTCAGCACAGTACACAAGCTCTGTAGCACCGGCGAGAATCCTGAAATATTTAGAGTAGATTTTTTAAACTCCAAATCTTTTTTTTTTTTTCGATTTCCAACTTCCAAGAGATTTTTTACGTGCTCAACAATCAACAATGTACACGGGCGTCCGATCTCACTACCCAGAGACCAGTGAGAATTACTAAAAGTCCAAGTCCACGTGAAAAATTCCAAGCCCTTACCGGGGACTGAACCGGGAACCTCTAGCACCCGAGGCGGACACCAGGCCTCGAGACCACGCAGCCCCTTGTAAACTGATACAGATGTGTTAAACGTAAGCAGTTGATGGTTTGAACATTTGACCACCCCCCCCCCCCCCTCCCCTTTTCCCCCACCATCAAGAAATTCGACGACCAAATACAAAACAGAAACACAAACAGAGATATTACTTTTAGTACTGTCTATCCCAGAAAAGAACACTTTTGCATTTCCTTCTTTCTCTCCGCACTTCTTTGTTTCTCTCTGCAATTCATTCTTTCTCTGAAATTCTTTCTTTCTCTCTGCAATTCTTTCTTTCTGCTATTCATTTTTTCTCTCTACAATTCTTTCTTTCTCTCTGAAATCCCTTCTTTCTCTCTGCAATGTCTTGTCTTGTCTTTGCAATTCTTTCTTTCTCTGAACAGTGGAAAGCGAGCGAGCAAAGGCAGGGATACATCTGTAAGGACCACATCATCAACAGTTGGATAAACATCAGACTGAGAGAGTGTTACATCAAAGGCAAAAGACAGACATTGTTGGAGATCAATTGTTATCATCATTCACTGTGGAGACGGCAAATGATTGTTTGCCTGATTGATTAAGTAATTATTCGATTGCCTGATTATTCAAGAACTTGAGTTTTACACCTGAGGCTTATTTGTAAGCATACTCTTGGCTCCTTGCCTCTCAAGTAGATGCCCTTTGACTTCGAAGACAACATCCCTAATTTATTCAACTTTCAGGGCTAGCATGTTACGGACCATTGGGTCTATTCTCACTCACCCCCCCCCCAACCTCACCACCCCCTCCCCCTCTAATGGGGTCCCAAAAGTCACGCGGGAAGTTGATTTGTTTGGCAGTTGAATTAAAAGGGGAAAAAGAAGAGGTGATTGGCACTCTGTATTGTGGTTTACACCTAGGCTATCTGTATTTTCGCCCCAACACATCAGATTTCGACAAACTCATAAAAATTCGCTTTTAGGAACATGATTGTCGGGGGGGGGGGGGTGAAAAAAAAGAGGGGGTGGGGCGGTTATTTCCTTCCAAGTCGGGGCGCTTCTACCTGAGAGGCGAAGATTCAACATCTGCAATCCAAAAAGCTGGATCTGCAGAACGGATACGCCCGCGAAACTCAAGTTCTGCAACGAGACCAAAGTCCAAAAGTGGAGTAACAACCACAACTTTCCCCCAGGAGTTTCCAACGCTAAAAGAAAAATGAAATATTCTCATTTGAATAAGGTCTCATCGAGTTACTAAGTGTTAATCTACTTGTATGCAATACTGAGACCAAACAAAAGAGGGAGGGAAGGCGTGGTGGCCCGGGGGAGGGGGGTGGTATTTTTAAAATGTATAGAGCAGATTCTGAGACGAATAGGAATGTGAAACAAACGGGTCAAGAAAGCGAGGACTTTCAGGACAAACTCTAGGATATATTTACCGGGTAAGCCAGTGAGGAGTCGATTGTAAACCTACTGTGATATAAACAGTAGATAATAGTGGTGATGTTGATGATGATGATTATGGAGATAATGATGATGATGATGATAATGGTAATAATGTTGATGATGTGATGATGATAATAATTATGATGAAGATAATGATGATAATGATGATGGTGATGATAATGCTTATGATGATGATGATGGAGATAATGATGATAATGTTGATGATGATGATTCTTATGATGAGCATGATAAAGATAATGATGTGATGCTGATGATGGTGATCATGATGATAATAATATTAATGATGATAAGCATAGTACTGATAACAAAGCAAAGGTAGACTTGTAAACTCAAAATTGCCAAGAAAAACCACACAATCAACATTTATCAAAGATTTTATATCTTTTAGTTGAGTTGAGTCAAGAATTGACATCACAGCACTCGGGGCATTCCCATGCGTGTTTCGTCCTCATCTTCAGCAGCCAGCGCTGAGTTCCAATACTGATGGCACCGGTCGTAATTTGGTTGTGTCCGTCTTGTCTTTCCCCTGAGTGTAGGGAGCCGGCCAGACCCTATGGTTTACACCCAGGTGCATCATTCTCTCCAGGCCAGAATAATCTGTGTGTTCTTTAGTAAACTTTGAACACAAGCCACTGATGTTGAATGACTTCTGTTATTAAACTTGTGTGAAGCCCAGTTAGATCGTAACGGTCTGAAGAGGATGGTGCAACTAGGACTGACTATGGTGGTGTCTTCGACCTTTTTCCCGTTGCCTCCTCCCCCACAGCCGTTTTAATAGTATTATGGGCCAGTGGGCAAATCGATGTGCTGGTGTCTCTACTGCAACCACTCACAGGAATGAAATGTGACTAGTCAATATTAAACATACACATAGATTAAGATGAGGCCTTTTGATTTGGGGGCGGGGGGGGGGGGTCTGTCCAGCGCCCAGCCGGTCCATGCCACTAACCTTTAAAAAAAAGGAGGACACAAAAGTTGGACATAAATCCAAGCTCTGTTAACTAGAACTTGGAAAAAAATATTCATATAAATCAAACATTCAAATATTATTCGAGAAACAATCATCAACAACTGGTAATTTAGTATTCACAAATCAGTGTGATGTTTGACACCCTTTTGTCTTGACGATATCTGCTGTTTTTTGATCTGATGTTCGACAAGGCAAAACGGATATCACATTAAGATGGCAGCGCTATTTTATTTTTAAGATCAGTACATTTTAATTAAAATTAATCAGGATGGGGGGGGGGGGGGGGGGAGAGAGATAAGAGTACAACAGATTATTACAAGTACAAATGTTCTCAATTTAGAAATTTTTTAACGCACTCTCAAAACTTTCTCGCCCCCCCCCCACCCCCCACCCCACCCCGCCCCTTTTTTTGCCCTGGTTGATGACCTATGAACTATGGAACCCGGCCCGCACTCCAACCTTAGAGGAAAGGCAACACTGACATACAATCAGATACTACTGGTACCGTCACGGTTGAAACTCCTCGTTGGCTGCTGAAGATCGGAACAGATCGCTAATGGGAATGTCCCAAGTGCTGTTATGTCAGTTCTTAAAACTAAACTAATAACTTGTGTACAGGTATTTTTGCAGTAGAGATCCGTTTTTTTTTTTTTTTTAGTGGATTTCTTTCTTTGTTTTACTTTCTAATATATTTCAGTGGACTTCTTCTTCTTCTTTCCTCCTCTCCTGGAATGCCTCGCGTTGACAGGTCAGGAAAAGATCTCTATAACGGGCCCTCTGATCGCTTCGTATAAAGTACTTTCCAGTGTCTCTGTTATTTCTGCGGTCCAACTTCTGTGCGGTCGTCTTCTGGATCTGTTACCGCTATATCTATATAACATCGCTCTTTGTGGTGCCGTGTCTGATGCCAATCTTGTTACATGGCCAAACCATTTGATTTCTTGT